TATCTATCTATCTATCTATCTATCTATCTATCTATCTATCTATCTATCTATCTATCTATCTATCTATCTTTCATTTGATTTACACTGCATTCAACTTAATCATGCCACTCTAGTTACATCTTTAATCCAGTTCTTCATTCTTTCATGTTAAAAATGACAACTTGGCCCAAACCTTTGGAAGTCTACAGCAGTGTTTCTCAACCTTGGCAAATTTACAATGTGTGGACTTCAACTCCCAGTATTCCCTAGTCAGCCTGCTTTAAGAGGCGTGGACTTCAACTCCCAGAATTCCCCAGCCAGCCTGCTGGAGATTCTGGGAGTTGAAGTCCACATATCTTAAAGTTGCTAACCTTGAGAAACACTGGTCTAGAGAGTCAGGTTAGATCTAAAAAAGGTCTATAAAATAAAAGACACATATCTTCAGCAAGGGATAAAGAGCATATCTACCTGTATCATTAAACAAACTTTGCTATTCAGCCCTGGCACATTCAAACAGCAAATTTGCCAGGGTGCCACAATCAAGGTGGGCTAGCTCTTACTAAGCAGTTAAGAGCCACATCTGACCTGTTCAGTCTTTTGAATCATTTGCAAATGCCTTTGGACCCCGGTAAAGCAGAGAAATCAGCTTAAAACGATCCCCAACTTACGTTGGGTTCTTTTGCCTGGCTGCCAACAGATCAGATCCAAAGTAATTTGACATGAGCTGGTCACAGGTGCTGACGTACTACACAGACAAGAGACCGCCCAAGCGATCAGGTGAGTTGATGAGAAACAATAAATGATGGGCCGTGTGCCCCCAAACCAGAGTTGTGAACCATAGATGTGATGTGCTACCACGCTAGCCGTAAAAATTGCCCCGTAAGGTTAAGAGGGATCCCATATTCTCAGGATCAAAGTAGCTTTGTCATTACAAAGTGGTAGTAGTCCCATCTATAGGTTTTTACACAGTTAGGAGAAACTCTGAGCCAAGAGGTATGCTAGTAATCTTTCTTCAGCTTTCTTAATTCAAGTATTAATTACCCACGAAGCCAAAAAATCGCTGCTCAGGACACACCTTTCTAAAATCTCCTTCTAGGTGTTGGTTTGAATCTTAATCCTTGCTACTAAGCACAATGGAACAAAAATATTCTGACAGATGTCTTTCCAAAAATGCTTGCTTTGATGCAAATGAGCAGAGTCCAGTGCAGTGTTTCTCAACGTTGGCGACTTTAAGATGTGTGGACCAACTCCCAGAATTCCCCAGCCAACATGCCTTAAGATATGTGAATTCACCCAGAATTCCCCAGTCAGCATGACTGGCTGGGGAATTCTGGGAGTTGAAGTCCACACATTTTAAAGTTGCCAGCGTTGAGAAACGCTGGTCCAATGCATACGACACACTGAACCATGAAATAGCCAACGTTTCAGCTTAACCTGTTGGGTGGAACTACCCTGGGAAGTTAGCTTAGGGTGCAAACCCCAGAAAATACACATGATGGATTGTGTGAATGCTACCACAATTCTGTGACATTTTAAAAGACTAAGAAATGTGTCATGGCAAAGATGCAATCAATTCAGCAGTGATGTTATTATCATTTGCATCGTTCTTTATCATGATTTAATTCCTACACACTTCTAGGGGAGCCCAGAATTGCAGCTAGCGAGATGGGCAACTCTATCGACAGACACAATAAACAGAAACGCAGAAACGAAAAACAAAATTATGAAAAAAAAAAAACCATTTGATCCAACAACCTGTTTCCTTAGTCGATTTTAAATGGAGGGAATAAAATGAGATCAATTGACAAGATTAACCATCAGAGAAGGACCGTCACTGTAACAAAACTGATGTTTAAAAAGGTGGATTGACTACCATCTAGCACACACTGATGCAAGAAAACACCGTCAACATTTTAAGGGAGTTACCCCCGTCTGTGTGCATGTGTGTGCAATGCGTGTGTCTGCGAGTGTGTGCTACCAACAAGGTTGTCTCCCAGGCCACATTTTGAGCCATGTCACTAGTAGGACAAGGCCCTCTCCAAGTGATTCTAAATGGTCCTTCTAAACTCTCCATGGTCTCCATCCCGTTGCACCATGTTTGATACTCAGCTCCAGGACTCTGACCAGTCCTGAAGTTAAAGCACCGTATCTAAGTCATCTAACGTCCATGAGTTCATTTCCCAGTAGAAAGTTGAGCCCCGTGAAATAAAATCTGGCAACCTACATCTGAAGAGTCCCAGTAGACGAAACGGGTAACTTATTGCTTGCCTGTTGGCGGTCAACGTAACGGATGCTCACCTTCCCATCAGACGCGGTGTTGATCCGGTAGTGGTAGACCCGTCCCTCGTATCTCAAGGATATGGATCTCTGACCAGGACTGCTTTCACTTTCCCGTACCAAAAAGCTGCCGTTGATCCCACTGCTCAGCAGATACTCCGCCGCGTTGCGCGACACCGGCCCGTGGTACCACGAATGCTTTTCCAAGCTGTTGACGGGGGTGATGTAGTTGCTGGGCACCCAGCCCTGTCCGTTCTTCGTCTGGGCTTCGCACCATTCTCCATTGTGGTTGTAGCCCAAGACGCGGAGTTTCTCCCCTTTTGGAAAATCGGGAAACAACCACATCAACCGCCTTGAGAATTATCGATTTCCGCTTGTTCGTTCGCAGGCAGCAATTAAAAAATGGCAAAGTAAAATGGCCACTCCTTATTTAATTAAAAGGATCAAGCCCTAATTGCCCTGCCAGGGACACTGGAGACCGTCCATAGGGCATCACCCAAGCCAGAGATTTTTTTTATTTGACTCGGTTCTCAGACAACCAAACAGGGCTGCTGTGCAGAGCCAGAACGGACATGGTCCAGAGGAGCAACAACTCTTTCAAGATGATTCCCTTGCTGTACTAGCAAACAGCAAGGATCTGGAAACCAGGACCTTCACATAGGGTAATGCACTAAAACCCGCATTTTAAAATCCTGCTTTTTCCAAAGTTTTCTTCCTCTGCAAAAGAGGCTTCTGTTTTTCTACCTTACCCTCAGGATACTTGAGAATTTCTTTTGAATTTCTCATGGAGATGTGTCGAACGGTATATATTGCTACAAATGGGAGAGGGGACCTGGTGTTTTTATATTTTACAGGTAGTCCTCGTTTAGCTACATAGATTCTGTCTATGTAGCCTAACAGTAAAGTAGAATTAGCTGATCTGGTTGTGTTTCTTGTCTGGCCTACCTAGCAAGACCGACATCAATCTTGCAAGTCTGAAAGTACAAATCTCCCGCCCACTCCTTTACAGCCCAAGAAACTAGGGAGGTCTCTTCTGAGCTGCTTGCCCTACCCGATATCCAGCTGAGGGCTACACTCCCTCTTATCTGACTATTCCCTAGGTAGCATCTCTTAGCCCAGTCTCCCAAGGTCTTTCCCACATACCATTACAAAAGATTGTGCCAACACCAGAAGTGTGCCCATTTAGTATTTGCATTGAGGCTGACATTCACACCCATTCCTCATTCGGGAATGACACATTTCCCCTGTAATAAGGTTATTTAAAACCAGTGTCACCCTTATGGCTGAATCCAAGCTGGCACCTATGTCTCCCTGATCCCATCCAATATCTGAATGATTAGCTTTTTGGATGCATCTATTCCCAAAATTGTGCAAAAGTGTTGGGATACATGGATTGAGAAGGGTGTTCTCTATGTTTAGTCTTTGAAACTGAAGCAGTGCACACCTCACTAATGATTATATTAAATTTCCCACTACCATATAGATCAGAGTTAACACCCTGGCTTGTTTGAGGATAAGCAGAGCTGGCTTGTTTGGCTGCTCCAAGCTAGAGAACCCTAAGCACATACCCTTGTTTGCACTTTGGCCGAATGACTGACGAAATCCGGCTTGACTGGATGTCAAAACCCTCCCACTGAGCGGATGGCAATTTCATGCATCGATGCATGATTTTAAGAGAGAGCGCTGTTGCTTTTCTTAGTGTGAAGTGCTCTTAAAGTTTCTGAGTGAGCTAAGAAATGGGATCCAAACTTTACAACAGATAAATTAACTGCTATCGAGGTCACTCCTTCCCCAAAAAGCCTCTGCCTCCTCCCTCTTACCCTCCTTCCCTCCCTCCCTCCCTTTCATCCATCCATCCATTCCCACCTCCTCCTCCTTTCTTTTTCTCAATCTTCCTTC